GAAAATGCATCATTTCACATCATCAGAGAAACGTCGAGGCTTGTCAAAAGGTATAAAAAGATATAAAAGATATCAAATCCAACACAGGGCAGGTGTGAAAGCACCCTTAGTTTCCCCAATGTAAGACCGATCACAGCCCTCCTGACACTGAACAGCACACACAACATTACTCTTTTTGTGCCGGGGGACTGGATCTTTGGGATGAATCAGTCTTTGCCGTAATGTATTCTGGGGTTTAAAAGCCACTGGGACGTTGTGTTTAGAAAACAAACATCTCAGTTTCTCTGATACTCCCACAACATACGGATTGACCACTGGTCTGGGTCTGGGTTCCTCCTTTTCACCTGATGGCTGGCTGACTGGAGTCCTGTTTGGGTATCTTCCCTGTTTTCAGGAAGGCCCAGTTAGGATATCCACATTGCTCTAGAGCCTGTCTTGTGTGGGATTTCTTCTTCTGCCTGGCTCCTGAGCTAGTGGGGATGCTGTCTGCTCTGTGGTACAGAGTCCTGATGACACCTAACTTGTGCTCCAAAGGGTGATGGGAGTCAAACTGCAAATACTGGTCTGTGTGGGTGGGTTTGTGGTACACCTCAGTTTGCAAATGTCCTCTATCAGAGACTGAGACCTCACAGTCCGAGAAAGCCAACTTGCCATTTTTTACATCTTCTCATGTGAACTTGATGTATTTATCCACAGAGTTGATGTGGTCAGTAAAATGTTGGACTTCCTGAGATTTAATTCTAACCCAGGTGTCGTCAACATACCTAAACCAATGACTTGGTGGTGTCCCTGAAAAGGACGTCATGGCTCTCTTTTCTACCTCCTCCATGTACAGGTTGGCAACAATAGGAGAAACTGGAGACCCCATAGCACACCCATGTTTCTGCCTATAATATTGCTCCCCATATGTGAAGTAGGTTGACTGCAGGCACAGTTTCAAGAGTTGACACAGTTGTTCTGTGGAAAGCATGGTCCTGCTGTTCAGAGTGGTGCCTGATTTTAATCTTAAACTGACCACCTCTACTGCATCATCAACAGGAATGCACGTAAAGAGTGATGTGACATCAAAAGAGACCATTGTTTCATTAGTCTCCATGATGACATCCCTCACCTTATCCACAAAGTCTATGGTATTCTGTATGTGGTGTTCTGAGCTGCCAACTAAAGAAATGAAGATGTTCACATCTTGGATTGAGAGGAACGATGGTTTGAGAGAGGAGTAAAGGAGGCCATCTTTGTGAAAATAAGTCATCCATCATTAAACAGGGGTGGAGGCCTACGTGTTCAACTGTCCCCCTCTTACAATGCTGTTATTGCTAGTATCACTCAGCCCTCTGTGAATAGTAAACAGCCATCAGTGTGCTAATGATCCATTGTTAGGCCGATGGTCCTTCTTGATCATGTGAGCAGCTGGTTTTGGTTGTCAGCAGCAAAACTGGTTGATCCACTCTAGAGCTGGGTACCTTTCTAAAAAAATCTGTATCTGTACCTGTGTCGGTTTCTGAACGGTTCTTTTTTCGTTATCAATTTTGTAATTACTATTAATTCTAACAAGAATAAAATCACGTTACACATTACAGTACAAATTGAGTTTTATTTTTTGACTTTGGTATTTCTATTCCAAGCAGTTTTCTTACATAAAAATAAACAAATAATTTCCAGTTCAAAAGAACAGTTGTAAACAACAAGTGACACGTCAGTGTCTAATGCTCAATGCTATACACTGAGGACCTTTTCAATTAGCAGTTTTTCTTCAGAAAAATCAACATGTCTGCTTTCTCCAGACACAAACAAGCCCGCTCCTGGCTGATGGTGTCTCCAGCAGTAGAAAATGTTTGCTCTGATGGTGTGGATGGTTGTGGACATGGTTGTCCAGTTTGATAGCATTGGCATAGTGTCCCTCACATCCCACCACCAGGTCACTGGATTCACTGAGGCTAGGGTTGATGGCAGATATTTGCACCTCTGTGTCTCTGCCTGAATCTTCTCTGTGATTCTCTGGGGTTTAGTGCACTTATCATCTCTCTAATTGGCATTGGAACACAAAACATCAACAATACATGGTTGTGTTATTATTGCTCAATTAACATTACCTAGGCTGAAAAATAAAAACTTAGCTGGTCAACAATATCCTTTAATTTTTGCTTACCTCCACCATGGAGCCTCCATTGTAGAAAAAGCATCAAACTTTTAACAGCAAAGTTTGTGACTGTCCTGACTCCTGTGGACCCTCACCTCGCTTTTCTTTTGTCCGTTTGTCCTCCTCAGCGTCAGATGCTCCTGTGAGGAGAACATTAACAAACAGTGAACATTAGGTGAACTGTTTAAGCAGCTGACCCGATGGATGAGCACATTTTTACAAGCTAAGCTTCATCTGTTTCTGTCAATCTTTAGTTAGCTTCTGAGTTTAGCTAGCTACATAGATAAAATAAAGCTTCACACTAATATCTTAAAGTTAGCATTACATGGATTCTAGTTTAATTCACTGTGATACACGTATTAAGCTGCAGTAACGTTAACAAACGTAAACTTATCAGCTGAAATCCCACGCACAGCTCCGTCCTCAGAGTTCTTTGATAAAGACGAGTCCAGTCATGGAGCTAATGAATCTGGCCGTTCAACACTCACAGGCTGACTTTAATGCTGAGAGAGGAGATGGGGGGAGGCTGCTGTCCTTCTCTTTACTTGCAGAAAAACACGGAGCAACTTTCTGCTCGTAAATTGAAGCCGTTCGACAACACACACGCTGCACAAGTGAACCCCGTCTGTGGGCGTAACCAGCACTATAGACATACAAGCCATACGGCTGCTCTATACAGCTCTGGGTGTAAACACGTAGTCTGTTTGTCATATGTCTGCGTTTTACCTGCCGACGTGCTGAAACCATGTGACACGTTACAGCCAATACCGAAACTTGACACCGAAAAAAGAGTGATGTTTCAATCCATACACCGACCGACGCAGTTCAGTCGGTGCTATAAAAGACCTCGATTCGGTATACAGCCCTAATCCACTCTGAGAAGGTGCTATTTATAAGACTGAGCTGAATACAGCTCCTCGGACTGAGGAAGTCTTTCGGATGAGAGACGAAACATTTCTACATTTTTTTTTTTTTTTTTTGAATGTCCAGAGGACCTTTTTTAGATTTTTTTTAACCTGGATTATTGCGCATGCATCAGGATAGTGTTCAATATTTTCAATGTCATTATGAATGAAAACTGTTATATCTCAGCCAAAAATTGGTTTATAAATATGGGAAAAAAATCCATAAATAAGTTGTTTCAGTGTATAAGGGCATGCAAATTATGCAAAAAACTGCGACTTGTAGGTAAAAAAATACAGTAATACTTTGTTGATCCACCTCCAGCAGCAATCACAGCCTCCAGTCTTTTTGAATATAATGCTTCAAGCTGAGCACACCTATCTTTAGGTAGTTTGTCCCATTCTTCTTTGCACTAATTCTCAAGCTCCATCAGGTTGGATGGAGACGTCTGTGCAGCCATTTTCAGATATCTTCAGAGATGTTTGATCAGATTCAAGTCTGGACTCTGGCTTGGCCCCTCCAGGATAATCAGAGTGGTCCTGAAGCCCCTCCAGGGCCTTCACAGAGTGGTCCTAAAACCACTCCAGGACCTTCACAGAGTGGTCCTGAAGCCACTCCAGGACCTTCACAGAGTGGTCCTGAAGCCACTCCTTTGAGATCTTGGCCATGTGTTTTGGGTCGTCCTGCTGAACCGTCGCCCCAGTCTGAGATCCAGAGCTTTCTGGATCTTCTCTATACATTGCTGCATTCATCTTTCCCTCCATCCTGACTCGTCTGCCAGTTCCTGCTGCTGAAAAACATCCCATTGCATGATGCTGCCATCACTATGCTTCACTGTAGGGATGGTGTTAGTCTGGTGATGAGCGGTGCCTGGTTTCCTCCAAACATGACACTTGGCATTCACACCAAACAGTTCAATCTTTGTCTCATCAGACCAGAGAGTTTTTTTTTCTCATGGTCTGAGTCCTTCTGGAGCCTTTTGTCCAACTCCAGACGGGCTTCCATGCTCCTTTTATTAAGGAGTGGCTTTCTTCTGGCCAGTCTACCAGACATTCTGATTGGTGTTTTGCTGCAGAGATGGTTGTCCTTCTGGAAGGTTCTCTCTCCACAGAGAAACACTGGAGCTCTGACAGAGTGACCATCAGGTTCTTGGTCGCCTCCCTGACTAAGGCCCTTTTTTCCCAATCGCTCATTTTAGACAGTCAGCCAGCTCTAGGAAGAGTCCTGGTGGTTCCAAACTTCTTCTATCAATGAATGATGGAGGCCACTGAGCTCATTGGGACCTTCAAAGCAACAGAAATGTTTCTGTATCGTTCCCCAGATTTGTTCAACACAATCCTGTCTGGAGGTTTACAGACTTTGACTTCATGCTTGGTGTTTGTGCTCTGACATCACTGTCCACTGTTGGACCTTCTATAGACAGGTGTGTGTCTTTCCAAATCAAATCCAGTCAACTGAATTTACCACAGGTGGTCTCCATTTAAGTTGTAGAAACATCTCAAGATGGTCAATAGAAACATGCATCTGAGCTCAAAATGAGCTTTGTGGCAAAGGCTGTGAATACTTGCGTACATGTGGTTATTGGTTTTCTATTTTTAATAAATTTTCAAAATTGTAAAATATTTTTCCCATCATCATCATGGGTTATTGTGTGTAGACTTTTGAGGAAAGAGATACATTTAATACAATTTGGAATAAGGCTGTAACACAAGATGTGGAAAAAGTGAATTGCTGTGAATACTTTGTGGATGCTCTGTGTTTGTGTTCGCACCAAGATGCTATTTTAATCTTAAAGGTTTCCACACCTTTCAGAGGCACTGCAGGGAAACTGTTCAGGATGTCTCTGTCTCATCTGTCCTGAATGATTTGATTTTATGCTGAGACTCGCACACATTCTTAGGCTCGGTATGAGACATAGAACTGAATCTGACCTGAGTCTGGGGTGTGGTGTCTGCAGATCTCCAGGGAGGATGCCCAGGCCTTTGCCAGCGACAACAGGATCCACTACATGGAAGCTTCAGCAAAGAATCGATACAATGTGGACGAAACTTTCCTGAAGCTGGTGCAGATTATCAGGTATATTCTCTTTACGTTTTTCTTCAGGCCCGCTGGAATCTGTAAGACAGCTGCTAAACTGTATATTTTTGTTTTAATGCCATATGGTAGGAAATCTGTCCTTTTCTTTGGTAACATATTGTCCCCCGTCACAGAGCTAAGAGGGGAAATTGGATATACCCTCTGTCCATCCGTGCACACTGAGCATGATGACCGATTTCCATTTTGGTGTGTGGCTGCATCTAGGTAAAAGAAAGGTCACAAAAACTGGGTTAGCCACGTCAAAATCCAAGATAGCCACCACCATCATTTGAGGAAACTACACTTTCTCGTTTTTATGTTGCTCAAAAGTATAGTTTGCCCACATGATTCAGGTGGCTGAAGATTAAACTATGGCAGCTGTGCTGGCCACCATTGTCCCACAACTCATCCCCCCAGCTGGGTGGGGGTGGGGGCTGGGAGGGACTGCACTTGGTGGTGGATCTCCTTTTCTTGACAGGGTCTGTCATTTTACGTCGCCTCAAACAAGAAAAAAAGACCTCCCTCTATTCCTTTCCACAGCACAACTCCTCACTTGAATATCTTGCACTAAAACATGAAGGTTTTCTTACATTCTCTGTTCAGTTCCAGTCCAGAAAAACTCATCTTGAAAACTACAAACATTCACTCTTCAAATTGTCCCAGCGAGGGGGGACATAGCATTTCTCAGTTTAAACAAGGTCTGATGGACAATTATCAAGCAAACCTCCATTTGTGTTTCATATTATATTTATTTGATTTTAATAACTCATTTGTTACAATAAATCATGCAACTGATTAAATATGTATTTTGTCAGTACAATAAGCCACCTATTATTATCCACCTGAAAAGGCTTTTGCTCTTCTATCATTTCATTTAATTTATTTTATTTAAATTAGGACAATGCATATTAATCCACATGTCAGCAGTAAGCATCAATGTAAATATGCTGGAGTTAGCACAACGGCTAATTTTCATCCGTTGTCCTAAGGCAAGTAAGAACAAGAAACATCCCACCAAACTAAGAGCAGAGAATAATACCAATATCAACTTTAATGCAGCCCAAACCACAACGTGTACCCCCACAAATGTTATATCAAAACAACCGGCTCAGCACCTTGATGTGTGCTATTAGTTTTATTGGCGTTTCAAGTTACCATGAAAACGTAATTTACAAACCATTTTTCTAATTGAAAAACACTGAAGCTTCTAACTCCTACAGTGAGGTCACATGACCAAGAGTGGAGAGGTCTCTGAACAAAACATTGGTTATGTACTGTAACCCTAGATTTTATGAGTATAGGCGTAGCCCTTTAAGACTGTCGCTAGTGAGTTTATCCCTAGGCGCGCAGCACTGAAAACTTTAGTCCACGCCCACCTGCTGTGTGGGCCCCACCCGGTCTGTATAAATTATGTTAAGAGCGGGTAATCGGCTCCCAAATAGCTTTTTTCTTCAGCCATTAGGAACCAGTGAGGCCCAGAGCTTAAAGGGCTACGCCTATACTCATAGAATCTAGGGTTACAGTACGTAACCAACGTTCTATTTCGTATAGGCTTCGCCCTTTAAGACTATCGCTAGTGGGTTAAAGGTGAAGCAGGATTTAGTCTATGCCTCACTGGATCCACTCAGACACAACATGAAGCACCTGCTTGCACACACACACACAAAAAAAATCATCACTCAGCCTTCTGTGTGCGTAATTACGCGCTGCGTAATTGCGTGCTCCATGCGCAGGAGCGCACCGGAGAAGATCTCTGGTGAGGAAAAAAAAGGCTGAGATAGCAGACCTGCTGCTGTGAATAGGAACAACAGAGGATACGAATTGTAACAGTGTACCGATAAACAGAGCAGACCAACAGCTCCTCAGGTTGAACCGGTTAATAACAATAAAATCAGCAGTCATGAACTTGTGACTGATAATAAATATCTCACACTGCGACTGCATGCAGGCAGGTGTGAGCTCAAAAGTGAGGCTCCATGAAACAAATAATCATTCTTTTTTTTTCTTTCCCTTCTTTATTTATGGATTTTGACAAAATAAATAATCATTCAATTCAATTCAATTCAAAAATACTTTATTAATCCCAAAGGAAAATTATTTGTTGTAGTAACTTGTTATCCTCATTTCATTAAGAGATGTTATATATACTGATTGCTGTAGACAGGAAGGATTTCTTGTTCTGTCAGCACCCTGAGAGCAGAATGGGTCCTGGAGAAAGTAGAAACATCACATAGATAAAAACGAATAATTGAACATGGCAATGACCAGGCAGCCGCCATACAAATATCCTCCACTGTCATCCCTCCATGCAGAGCTATGAAGGATGAAAACCCTCTGGTGGAATGTGCTGCGATTCTCTGGAGGATCCAGTCCAGATGAACTGTAGGCTTCAGAAAAAGCCCCACACAACTAGTGTGAGAGGCGCTGAGTGGATGGAGGACGTCCTGAAGAGCTGTCCCAGTAATGCACGAACATACGCTGAAAACGGTGCAGTGCGGCCATGTGCGACACGTAACATGAAAAATGTGCGTATGGAACAGAAGGAGGTGAGATGTTGCTTCCTCCTCAGAATTATGAGGAAGATGATAAAACCCATCCAAGGTTATCACTCTCGATCTGAATGAGCTTGTGATGCTTTTCAGAGCAGGGTTAAAACGCAGTACAGCTGAACTGCCGTCAGCTTGAATTCTGAGACATGAGGAAGTCACAGAGAGAGCAAACAAACACTTACTCTCTTTGCCGACGTCAGAACTAACAGCAGGGCTGTTTTAATGACAGAATTTAAGTGAAACCTGATCTAAAAGCTCAGAATGAGCTTTAATCAGAGCGAGCAGGACCATCATTAGGTCTCACTGTGAAGCTAGTGGACGTGACACTGGTCTGTTTCTCCATACACCTTTCAGGAAACGCTTCATCAATGGGTGATTAAGAACTGTTTTGTCACTGAAGCCCTTATGACAGGAAGAAATAGCTGCAGCATAAGTTTTAATTGTGCTGAATGCTAGATCTCTGTCTATCAGCTGCTACAGAAAGGACAGCATGCCACCTAGTGGACATGAGATGGCCTCCAAGCCTTTCTCTGCGCACCACCGCTGAAAAACTGTCCACTTGATGTGTACAGTGTTGTGGTGGAAGCAGCTCGTGTGCCCTAAACGTACGCACCACATCCTGTGGGAGGCCCATCTTTTCTGAACGGATCTGTTTTGCGGACAAAGCCAAAGATGCTGACCTATTGCTGGGTAACTCCTGATCGCTCTTCCTGCCTGGAGGAGAGCGATTTCTCAGGGATGGTCCTGAAGTTGGCCCCGAACAGTGCCTCTGGGGTGATGGGGGCCCTCCAGCAGGTCTTTCTGCAGCCTCTGGGACAAGGTAAATGGACTGTATTTATATAGCACCTTTCTATCTTATGGAGATACTCAAAGCTCTTTACATTACAATCTGTGTCCTCATTTACCCATTCATACAGCACTCTACTAGATCTCTACAAAGCTAATTGAACAAATCATTCTAAAGAGACTAATCAGTGCTTTATCACATTCAAACACCGATGGGACACACATCAGAGGCTATGAGGGGTTCAGTGTCTTGTCCAGGGACACTTCGGCATGTGACTGCTGGTGGATTTGAACCCCCAACTCTCGCATTGGAGGACGACTGCTCTAACCACTCAGCCACAGCTGCTCCAAGGATGGCGAAAGGCGGAGCCAAGTGGTCCTCCGGATCATGGTCATCCAGGCGGTGATGCGGGACAGGCAGACCGCAGAGGTGGCACATGTTTAAGATGACATCAACAGCTTTACAGAGAGAGAGCTCTTTGTCTCCTCCAGCACTACTGTTATGATCAACTCGTCCTGTTTATTCTGGTAATTCTGGTATTGTCATTTCCACTTAATCACCTCATCAGTACATAACTGTGACTCTATATAGAACCGGTATGCACACCTTCACTTTACTAAGTTTCTCAGGTTCATACTTTATATTGCACTATTGTTTACTCTGGCCTTGCACATCCATTATCTACCTCTCATCACGTTATTGTCTTCAGTCAGCGTCCCTTTGTCTCCTGTTAGTCACTATTGAGCACGTTGCATCAGAGGTCCTGCTGCTGTTCACTTTTACTTTTATATTTTTTTATATAACTAGTTGTGTTAGTTTATTTTTGCTAATGTTGTTGTTTGCTGCAACTTGAGTAGGAGTGTAACGCAATTTCAATTTCTATGTATGTCCTGTACATATGCAGAATTGACAATAAAATCAATCAATCAATCAATCAATCAATCAGGTCTGCTTCCTCCAGCCTCTTGGAGATGCTGTAGGGCGACGTTGTTGTTTGCTGCGGCTGTCTGGAATGTGCACTGGTGAGCTCGGTTGGTGACCTTGTCACCATCTGGTCATGCTTCCCTGGAGGGACAGGTTGCTGGTCCATCCTGGAAGCTTTTGCCCCATGTGCCACCGCCAGGCTTGTCTCCAGCGGGGGGGACCGAGGGAAAAAACACAGATCGGTAAAACCCTCCACTCTGGAGATGGAAGCGAAGGTGGAGACGGATGTCTTCAGCTTGCCGGGCCCAGCTGCAGCCTCGTTCCAGTGTGACGTCACAGCTGGACTGCGAGGCCATATGGGTTCAGGGCAATGAGCCAGGGCGGAGCCAACCTTGCCGCCAGATTATCCGATCAGGGCGGAGGGAGGCGAGGGACAGAAAGTCCCTTGTTAACATCCTTCTGGATTATGCCAAGCAGCTCCGAGAGGAGGGCGCTGACGGCTGGGAGGGAAGGGGCAGCTCTGCATCGCCTTTCTCGGAGGAATCATTTGATTCACTGTGTGACTCTGCATAAGAAGGCAGTAGCGTCGTCCCGCGCATAGCGTCCCACCACAGAAAAAAACACTCAGCGGAGCTGCTGCCAACATCACCTTTTTGAGGAAATCATTCGATTACCGTGAGGGAAAAAAACACGTTAGAAAAGACGGTGGCAGCGGGTAGCGGCCCTCCACGGAAAAACAT